AAATAATGGGAAGATAAAAGATGAAATAAAATGGGGAGGTGGTGGATTTCTATCTTTACAGTCAAAGCACATTTGCCCATTGACTTAAGGCTAGATGCTGGAGTGGCATTCCAACTTGGAAGATGCTTGCAGCTCTAAAGCAAAGCTTCAGAATGCCACTGTACTTTCTTTTCTGCTTCTGGACTACCTCAGAGATTAAACAAACACCCAGGATAAATTATTGCAGTCCCCAAGACCCCTTCATCATGCAGCTGGGCTGCTTGTAGGGTATAAACAGGCCAGCATCTCTAGAGGGCTCAACACTACACAGCTGCTCCCCAGCGCTGGAGGATTTTGAGATAGATTTAAGGGTTACATCCAAACAACTAAATTGGCTTAACTATTTATAGAAAACAGACTTTTGGCATGCTGGACCTCTGGTAAAATGCTGTGACCATAAGCAAGGCAGATAGCTATTCTCTACCAACACAACAAACACAACACTACATTCAGGTCTTTCCTGAGCGTGGCTTGGCTACACACAGTTTCAGAGCAGCTGGTACAGGCCACGCAGGGCAGGGCCCTTCTTCGGTTCTGGGTCTGTACAGTGCCTCATTCACAGAAATTCTTGTTGGTGCCTAGGTCTCTTACTGCAATCGCTGAAAGTATCACTAAAAGAAATGTTTTCCTCTCCTCTTATTTTAGGAGCATCCTTTGAAGCAGAGCTTTTAAAAGGAGTGCACAATTTTCTAAATCACTTGACAAAGCTGTTCTGTGTGTTGGCGGCTTTCCCAGTGCTAAGCTATTGCATCAAGGGCAAAAGAAGCCCCTGCGCAAACAGACCTGAGCCCTGCACAACATCCTCCTGGCAGCTCACATCTCCCACAGCAGATTATGTGGCACAGTCAGTCCTGCCCAGGGAGCTTTGGGGCGTGAACAGAACATGATATACACAGCTCCTAGCAGAGGTACAGCCCTGCAGTTTCTCTCTGGCTCTGAATGGAGACAGCTGCTCCGTCCGTAAGCAATGACACCACAGCATGCACCTCTCGGACCCCAGATTAAATCTGCACCTTTGCACAGTGCTGATTTTGGCTCACCTCTCCAGCTGCAAGTACCCCCACACAAGGCAACATTAATGCTAAAACATACTCTCTTCCTATCAGACTTTCCAATGAAGCAATTCCTAGGCAACAATGTTTAGTTTATGAATGAGAAGAGCTCATGGTTCATGGTGTGGAAACACAGGAGAACCTTCTCCTTCAGCATACAGGGCATGGGAAACAAAGGAAACATTTTTGCTCTGTGAGTTGCCTGAGGATAGGTGCCTGAAAGGCCTGGGAACAAATGCTATGGAAGAAATGCACCCTGTTCAGCCAGTCAGCAACCTGAAAGCACGTATTAGCAAACACCAAACTACTAAGTAGTCCTCACGACATCCTTGCAAAGAAGAGTGGTTTCTCTGCCTGTTAACATGTCCAAGAAGCAATAATGGTGAAAGCTGTACAAGTTGTTGGCTCAGTCCCTAAAAAGCACCCACCGACCATCACTTTGTTCATTTACACTAGCAATGCCAACTCAGCCAGCAATACGCAATACAACTTAAAAACTGCATCCAAGGAGAGAAAACAAATTCTTCATAGAATTAAATAATCTTTATTTTATAAAACATAATACAAAGCATCTACACCATTCACTGGTGAAACATTAGTCGCTATTACACAGTAATTCAAACACAAGTTATTATTTCACACTAGTTCTGCAGTTTCCTTTTACAATTTGCTCTAGCCACTATGGACTAGCCTGAGGACAGGTCCCACCGTGTGCTTCCATAGCTTGAAATTTATACTTCTGGGTCTGTGATTCTATGCTGGAGCACACTAGACAGACTATGAGGCCTTGCTCTGAGACATCGTTGCTAGCTCTACCTCATAAAGCCATTCCTAATTGCTCTTTTGTTTCCCGGTGCCCTTGTTTAACTTCTAAAGCCTCAACATTCATCACAGTGCTCTACTTCTTCCAACCACGTTTCCCCCCAGTTCAAAGAAGGGGACCGCTCAGCCATTAAGTGCATTATCTTTCAAAACATCTTCACACAAGGTGTTTCATAGATACCTGCAGTCACTAACTGACATCTTATTCACTAGGTCAGGTATGGGCTGTACAGTCCCCACAGAAGGGCTGTAACCATGCATTAAGCTGCACACCAAACCTCAGCAGAGGTCAGAGTCCAAATCATCAGGACTGCTCAGGAAAGTCTTCTTGGTGGGCAAGTCAACAGCTGCACTGAGAAATGACAGGCTGTTTTCACCTACATTTCTTCAGGACTTGCTGCTGAGCCCTTATTCCCTGGTCAGGCTGGCTGCTGAAACTCTTTTGGCTCCAGATTTACTGCAATCCTTACTAGGGAAAACCCACCAGACATTCTTTCTTCAACTTGGGAGTCCACCTGAACAAGAAGCAGCATGGCTGATCTTTACACACGTGTCTAGCTTACTCCTTTTGACTCCTATCCATAAGCACCACTGCAAAACACCTTGGACTCCTGCTTTTGTGATGCAAGCCAGATGCCGGGAAGTGCCATGTTCAAGTGATAAAGTATGATGACGGGTCATAGTGAGAAGTGCTTCACACAAAGCAACACCATTTTGCCTTTACACAGCACAGCTTGACACAGACCACCAAGCATTCATCAAAGGTGGCTTAGTGTTAACAAAAGAAAACACCCCACGAGGTAGGTAATACTGTACCCACTTAATAAAGTGGGTAAGCTGAGGCAAAAAGGCTTCTTGACATGCCCAACAGCAGCAGCAGAGCTGGGAAAGAACCAGCAAGCCCCAATTAGCCCTTCTTGTCTCCCTTCAAGGCTCAATAGTCATATCACTGTGCTGTGCTAAATGAGTCAAGTTGCCTTTTCAGGATCACTTCACCCATCAGTTGGCTCTGCTAATCTGAAGTGCTTTAGGCTCTTCAGGTCTTTGGCTGCAACAGGCAAGGCTCACCGCAGAACTGGCACCTGAGCTGCACTGGAGGCCTGGTGCTGAGGCTCAAAACAAATGATCATAACAATATCAATAACAAAGGAACAGCGCTTAAGAACATACAGTGAAATAAACACCAGAAGCTGCCAAATGGGGGACAGTTTTTCCCTGCAAATGGGACCAGATAAGTAACACTTATTTTTTCTCCCAGTCACGTTCACTTTTTTGCTTAAAAAAGGCCAGGTTCTGTGCCTCTCGCTTCTTTAATTATTAGGCTATAAAATAAGTCTCTCTTACCCTATAAATGCTCACTTTTATAAAGTGACCCAGATCCAATCAGGGAGACAAAAGTGAATTCAAAGACCAGGGGTCAAGGCATCAGTTCAGATGAAGGAGAGCCAAGGTTAGGTCTCTGGCTTGAACAGGGTAGAGGACAGATTTGAAGCTGGGTAGCTCTTCCACTTAGCCACCATGTTTTGAAGATGCATGTTGGCCACTCTTCAACCAGAAATCCCAATTTGGATCTGAGGAAACACTCTTGTCAAAACTGGTACCTATGGCCCTGGGAAAAATCATCAATGCTAGTTTCAAGTGTTTTTCAATCATTTTTCCATAGAGCTCCCAGACATTCACCTACAGTACCCCACTATCCCCAAACACTGAGGCAGACTCTGGGTTCAGATACACTGATCTGAATCTGGGATGACACTTTCAAGGGCAACAGAAATACACAGCTTTCACTACAAATCAGGTTCTGGCCCCTGTTCCCTTTAGATTGCCAAAACCAGCAAGTACAGATTGTTTGCAGATTGCTGCAGTAAAACACTCTGCATTTACTGTTCTTATTTTTAAAAGTTACTTACAGCTTGGGGAAGGTAATTGTCTGACAATCTCAAGGCATGCCGTTTGGTCTCAGGCTGGCTCCACACTATGCCTGCATTTGGGCCAATAAGCACAGCAGAGGGAGTTTTGGCATTCTGCAGACAAATCAGGACTTGGTCCATCAGCCAGAAAACCACTTACTGGCAAGTCCTGATGGGGCTTCTCATAACGGAGAGTATTGGTCACTCAAGGAGCTAAAAGCAGTATTTGGAGGGGGTGGGTGGCGTTGTAACAGTCAGGGATGAAGAAGAGGGAAAAAGTCAGAGAAGTGTTTCACATCAGGGGCTGTGTCTCTGGGTGTATTCACAGAGCACCTAGTCCTGGAAGGCGCCAGTGCTGATTAGAGCTTCTGGACACTACTGAAAAATAAGTTATTGATATGTTATTAAATAAGTTATTAAAAGGAATTAGAAAGGGTAGGAAACAACGACCTACCTAAAATACTGTTCTTTCTAGAGTCACACTCTAGCTCAACCACCAAAATCGTTTCTCCCAAAGGAAACATAGGGATAATGAACAAGTGCAGATAACAACCACCATTTTGCATTTATATAGCACCTCTCAAGTAAAGATCTGAAAGTGCATAACACAGATGGATCAGCTCCATCACCCCCAATTCACAGATGGGGAAATTAGGCAGAGAGTTAGAGTTATGTGACTTGCCCAAGGTCGCATAACGAGTTGGTGGAAGAGCCAGGAATCCCAACTCTGACGAAACACTACAACATGCTTCTTCCTAACAGTATGAAGAGTCACTCTAGCTGTCTAGACTGTACAAGATGCTGAACATGAAGATCTAGTGTTATTTCCTCCTCTCTTCCAAGATTCTACCAGTGCTGAAGGAGTTAGCTACTAACATTACTATTTACACCTGCACTGCTGGACTAGTTATGTTTAGTCTGTAAAATTAGCCCTTCTTTCACTCATATCATTTAGTGTATGCTTACGTACACGCTGAGCCAGCCTCTGCCAGGCCAAACACTGCAGATCCAATGAATCCATGGCATAGCTCCATGGATTTCAATGGAGTTACGCCAGGGATAAATTTGGCTCCAGAATTGCTAACGTATGTTGGCTCCTCTCCCAACAGTGGCATTTCAGGCACGATCCCCTTCGTGCCAGATTGTGAACTCGAGGAAGTCTTTACTCAGCATCCAGTCAGTGGTTTTTCAGATGTCCATTAGTTTTCAAGTATAACTCATCACTCTTCCGACTCCTCCAAGCGTGGTATTTCTTCATGCTCTTCCTCCTAGCGAAGCGACAGATGCTGACCATGAAAACCCAGGAGACAGCATACATGATGACGCCCCCCAGCTTAATGTACCACCTGGGTTTGGGAGAAGCAAGCTCACAGTACATCAGCCAGGCCCCCACTCCAATTCGCACCCCAGTGAAGAGGACCACAAAGAAGAAATCCACCACATCACCTGTGAAACTGTGGTAACACCCCATCTCCTTCAGGAACCAGCGGGCCTGCAGCAGCGGGTTAGTGATCTCACTACCAAAGATGACGGCATTGACCTCTGCAGCTGACTCCCCAAGTGCCAATGACGCTGTGATGCCTAAGATGCTCACCAGATGGTGGGCCAGCATCAGGGCACCCTCTGTCTGGAAGTACACACACCAACAAAGGTCGAAGAGGAAGTAGCCCAAGCTAAGGCACAGCACATGTACCTGAAGAGTTGTGTTGGGTGATCCTGAAACACAAAGACACCAGACAGAGCTTTAAAGCATGGAGGCAACAAGCAGGCAGGATCCGACACAAGGAAGGGGTATTCACCTTCCGCACTGGCAGGCTGGTATTAGCTTGTACTGATCACAGTTCAGCTGGAGAAGTCAGACAAGTCACAATACTATAGTTGTTAGTTTAACAGCTGCACACACGTAATGGCCACACAACGTGATCACACACTCTGCCAGATTGCAGCTGGGGAAGGCCATTACACTAGCAAAATACAGTACCAGCCTCTCCATTTCCCTAGTACTTTCCATCACAAAGCAGCTCAGATATCATTACAATCATCATTCCTCAAGTGGGCTGGATATTGAGGTGGTAGGAGAACCCCACTTTGTGCCATCACCCACTGGGGGACTTGGGACCACAACTTTCATTACTTACCTGGGTGACTCAAAGGCCAGGGACCATCAATAAAGCCAATGTAAGCAGAGAGACAGGTAGCAAGGATGCCATGGGTCAGCGTGACCAGCCTGCAGCTCCATTCATAATTCCGGTGCTTGTAGCGATGGCAGAACCAAGTGTAGAGAGAGAGCCAGGCAAGCAGACTGCAGGCTACCCGCAGAGGCAGGGAGAACAGCATCCTGTCACAGGAACGGAAAGACAAAATGCATCAGAAGGTATAGCCTTCGGCAGTGTTAGCACAGCCCAGTGCAGCATTTCACCCGTAACCACCCCAGCCCTGAGTGTACAGTGCTGTCTTCCAATGGTGTGGCTTGCTTCAGACAAATTTTTTCCGCAGAGGAACTGCAGTTCCTCTGGGGAAAGGCTTACATGAAAGAAGGGTAGTATCCCTGAGAATCAGGGCAGATTCACCACGTGGCCACCAGCACACAGACCCCCACCAGTGCCACCTCAGCTGTGGGAAGACGCGCTGAAAGCAATGGCCTTGTAAAGCAGTGAGTTCCTAGCCTGGTTGAACAGAAAACATACCATGGCTTGGTAAAGCACCTTAGAGGACTTCCCCAACCAGTCTACGATGCAGGATCTGCTGGAATATGTTAGGGCTCATCTGCACTGCCTGAGGGACAGGCTGAGGAGCGCCACATCCAGCAATAAGGCTTTGATCCAGAGCTATGCCTGCCCCTTCGTTTTAGTTCCCTGCCCATATATCTGCATTTGACTGGTCTGCTTGTGTTGCCCCACCTGACCTACTCGTCCTGTCATGCTGATTGCTAGCTTGGTTCCTCTGCTCCTGAAACAAAAAAACAAGAAAACCCAAAAACCACAGAGTCTCTTGCTAGGTCCACCGATAATCTTCCCAGTGTAGTGACATCAACTGCAAATGTGTCAAGAGAAACACAAAGGCATTGCCATCTCCTCCTGCTACTGAATTTTAACCTCCCAGCACTTACACATTTCTAGGACAGTTTGGGAAAAAACCGCTGCAAAATCCCCTTCTCCTCCCAAGGAAAACTTCCAGTGGAACAACATACAGTTCAAGCTTCTTCGTAAGCACGTGAGGACAAAGCTCAGATTAGAACAAAGCATCCCCCAGCAAACGGTGATCGGATCAAGTAGCCCACCACCTTCGGGAACAGCTAAGCACTCACACAGCCAGTCCCTTTCCTACCCCGGCTGCACTCCACGAGTGCCCCCGCCCTGCCCCGCACCTCCCCTGGGCAAGGCGCTGGACGCTCCCTCCTCTGCAGTCTGAGAGGTTTGAGACAAGGTGAAAACCACTTAGCTCTCCTAACAGCAGACTTCATTTCATCTTTTCTGGCACCAAGACCTCCAAATCTTTTTGATACAAAAGGATTAGAAGCCATGCTCATAAAGATTTTTTTCAACAGTATTTCTTTTATACAGGTTCCCTCACTCACTGTGCAATACAGAATCCCTCAAACAAGCAAAAGACATATTGCCAGAACAAAATTACAGCGCATAAACATCTATGGAGGACACTGCTCTTGTGGCTAAAAGCCCCCCAAATACATAATACTCTAATAACCACATCTCGTTCATATTCATAATAGCTTTCCATGAAACATAAGATGTGTCTCATTACTCCTAAGCATTCAGGGAAGCGCATCAGAAGAAGTTGAGTCACGCTCTGGGATACGCGAGTTTCCAGTTGTGCAATTACAAAAGCACCACTGGTCCTGCTGGTACCTGCTGACCAGCGTGCTGGATTCACACCCAGGGCTGGGAAACACCAAAAGGACTACGCATGATGAGGAGTCAGATTTGCAATGCCCAACCTTTTTGTTTGACCTGTTGCAAGTATTACCAGGAATGATTTAGGAGGCTGGGTAAACAAAACCATTATGGTATAATGGGAACACAGGGAGATGAAATAAGAATGTCATTAACTGCTCTGATCAGGTGTTTCCATTGACATCCCTGGTACTTGAGGTCCATATGCATTTAGAGTCAGGGCAGATAAGACAGGAAGAATTCTGATGTGACAAAAGGGATTGACCAGCTGGAGAAGCTTGGTAGAAGGAAGAGGAATGACCTTTTAAACATTTTGAGGTGTCTTCCACGCCTGCTTGTGAAAAAGATGTTTCTCCATTCCCTGGGAAGAAAGATGGGGGCTACCTTCCAATTGCAGATCAAAACTCAACATTTGTCATTGGCATACACAATATATATTGCACCTGTGAATTACGCCTGTCCCCACACGCTGGAAAGGGCAATATCCTTTAAAAACATCAGTAATTATAATCGCTTGTACCACCAGTAGCAATGGGGTCATGACCGAAAGCAGGCTCTACAATAATTACACATGCCTAAAAACCGAGTCCAGAACAGCCCTGCTCTCCCCGAAAGAGCTCAAAAACCAGACAGGCATCTCCAGCAAAGCACCGTTATTTCCTGACTTTTTTTTTTGTTTTTACAAATGAGAAAA